TCTGCTGTGTGGAGCGGAACACATCAATAGTAGTTGCTGGTCTTTTCAGAGGCTACAGCACAGACAGCTCGGCCGAGCCTGCAGTCAGGGAGGAGTGCCACTAAATATTATTGCTATGTCTAGAATGCTATGCATTTGCCAAACTACTAATAAACTGGTTTGTGCTCACAACACTTTTCTTTATAAAATTGTCCCCTATTATTTCATCTACACACTAAGTGATTTAAACATGTCATTGATGAGGACGCTATCTGTAAAGAAACAACCTCATCTTTAACCTGAACAGATAAGACCAATTCCAGTGTCAATAGCGATTCCTCTGTGTGTGCCACATGGCTTTCACGTCTCTATGTCTATGCTGTCACTTTACAATACAGCAAGCTGTCAAGCAACAAACAATTTAAAAATAAGGAATGTAGCTCTTGTACTCCAGTAAGAAAATATAATTTGCGTTTTAAGGACTGAGATTTTTTTAGTTTATTTATTTTTTTTAATACAGTGAAAGATATCTGCTTCAAACTGTGGCAAAGTTTTGAAGCTGTGGAAGGTCGATGGAAACCTTATTTCCTTAAGATAGGAGTGTGCCACTCGTGGCTGTAGCTTGCCTTAAACTGAACCCATTAATGGCGTGCAGTGCATCCACCTTTATGTTGACATTCCTGAAATCAAGGACATTCCCAATAGAGGAAGAAGGGGAAAAAAACCCACTGAACTGAATATCACTGCGGGAGAAAAAAATCACCTATTACACAAGAAGACTTGTCGATATTTATTAGCAAACATATCGTTATGCTAGTTTGGAACGGTTAGCCGGCTACGTGATTTAGCTTTTCAATGAAAGACCACCTATCATGCTTCAACAGGTAGAAACATCAGAAGCATACTTAAAAGTCAACGGGGATTTGGATTTAAATTCACCGCTTTGCGGCTACAGGGTTACCAGAAAGGCTGTGTGAAACCGTCTGAGCACCAGGCTGCTGTGCTGCTAGCAAGCTTAGCATTGGAGCTCGCCAACAGCCTCGAAAGTAAACTCACCATGAGACCACATCAGCTAACTTAACGAATTATAAAAATGTAATTCATTAAAAGGAGCACTGGCTGCACAGCCTACCCCGACACAGTCGTTATCATTCATTCAAAGGGGAAGGGTGCCAGATTTTGAAGCCGCCATTGATAAGCTAGCTCACAGGTCTGCGTTGCAGGGCCAGACTGTAGGTTAGCAATTGGGCGTAGTTAAGTTCAAAAGACCGAAAATGTATAATACCACTATAGCGGTGTTGCTTCGTGTTTAGATAGCGGGCACGGTGACCGACTAACTACATTAGTGAAAACAATGTTTCGACAAGCACTACAAAAAAAGGAAAGGGGGCCCAACATGTAATAATCTCCTCCATTTGTTTTACCTTTTACTGAGTGGAGTTCCGCGTCCGAAGTAGCGACCGAGTCAAGCTGATATTCCTCTCGTTTCACACGATCTCTGCATTTCCTATTTCTCACCAAAACTCCCGCATTTAAGTTGATCTGTCGTCGGTTCACAAGCAAGAGAGAACATGCGAAAAAGTGAGCAAATTAATCGATTGAACTTTCCATTTGATCCAGCGCCCCGGCCTAGCTGCTCCGTCTGGCCTGCTTTACGCGTATATGGGCGGATACCAGGCGTACTTTTACCCATAAACCATAGCAGGATTTCAACCGGTCTGGGGCATTTATCTCTCGATGTGTGTATGTGTCGCAATATGAGTTGTAATACACTGTACTTTGTCATTTGTGTGCGCATTGCGGCTCTTTTACACAGCTTTCATTTATGACTAGATTTATATAAGCACTGATTATTCTACTAGTAGTGAAAATGTTACCTGTCTTTTTAAATTCACATATGTATGTTTTTTAAATTATTATTATTATTTTTTAACCAGAGTGAGAGGTTCATATCAATACTTTAATGATTGAAATGATTAATGATTTCATTGATATACCCACAAAGGTCACAATTTGTAGGACTTGTGCTCTGACTGCTGCTGCCTGCAGTCAACAAAGCCTAGGGGGCACTCCACGAGCCTATTTATAGGCTCTAAATATAACTGGAATGTGCAGGAGGGACGTCATTCCCAGGCAGGAAAATGATTTGGCAATCCCTTGTCAGTTTTCCTACGTGTTCACAAGGGTTCCTCCTGCGCACTGTATGTGCAGGCGTTCGTAACAAAAGACGGACACAAAACCCAAACTTATGTTTAAGGATAAAAGGAAAGAACAGCATATAGCATGTTTTTGTTTGTTTCTTGTTTTGTTTTGTTTGTTTGTTTTCTCTTTTAGTCATGAGGATTATTGCCCATTGTATCAGAAATGTTGTTTTAGTGGATTCTGTCTGGGACCTTATACTAATAACATAACGCACATAAATAACATGCAGCAAACTTAATACGTTCTTGTACCGTAAAATAATATGACGTTGTTTTTAAAACGCAATGCATTGCTTTCACATTGTACAACAGACACACTAGAGGGCACTATTGAGCTCTCAATTCCATGTGCTGCTGGATTTAGAGATCATCTGTGAAATAAATGTGTAAATTGAGAATATCTGAATCACTTTTTCAATTTTGAATCACTTTTTCATTACTTTAAAAGATGCCAGGTCAGAGAGGTACAAGTAAGAGGTAACTTTACAGCTGAAAAAGACTATAATCAAATGCTCAAACGTATTAAGGTCGCATCATTCATTATACTGTGAGCAAATAACAGTAATTAACATAATCTGTGCCTGGAATTTTACATTAGTGTCAGAGAAAAGGCTGCATTGTATCTACATCTCAAAAAAATATATACAGTGTGTAAAACTAAGGAAGTAGTTAAAAGAGGGAACTCTCAAGTTCCCTCTTTTCAAAGTCATACACGGTTCAAATGTTAATTGAACAACAACAACAAAAAAACCCAAACCCTCCTATCTACCAACGAAACTCTAACTATAGTTAACCGTCGTATCACCATTGAACTACACATATCAAAGGCACTGTTATTTGCAGACATGAAAGCAAATTTTGGACAAAAAGTAATTTCCACAGTGACAGGCATGTTCCAGCCACATGTTCATCAGTAAAATCACGTCCATAAGTTTTTGGACAAAGATACAAATTTTTTAATTTTGGTGAACAATTGTCATATTACATCTAAGCCTCAGAAAATGAAATGCTTTAACCCTCTCAGGCTCAAATTAAACTTTTTGTTTCTAATGCACAACCAAGTCCTGCAGTGGTACTTCCGAGTAAAGAAAACTCATAAAATATGTATGTGGGGGTAATCAGGTTGCACTGTTGCAAATCGGCAACGCCTGCCTTGAGAGGGTTAATTCTTCAATAGTTGGTCTTTTTTTTTGCTAAGCTAAAAACTGTACTCAAGTCACATCTCGATTGTTTGATTTAGATTCTACAGTGGTGTCACACAAGGGCAAAACTACAAAAACCAATGAGCCACTCTCCGAGTATTTAACTGCACATTAAAGAAGCTTCTGTGCTATGACACATTTTACTCATTGTTTGAACATTTTGAGGAAATTTCAATTTGAGCACTCAAAGCACTTTTTACTTAAGTCGCGTTCACACCTCACTTTTATATATGACTAAGGAGTTCTTGTCTAACAGTCACACACACACACACAGTCCAACTGATACAAGGATATCTCAACACATGGACTAGAAGAGCCAGGGATCAACCAAGCGACCTTCTGATTGGTAGATGGTCTGCTCTACCACCTGAACTACCCCTGACCTCCACATGCAGTGTCTCATTTCTGAGAACAAAACCATCAACACTTCCAGGGCTGGATTAAGAAAAAATAACAACAAAAAGTGTTCCATAACTTTTTAGATCAGTATCCTATATGTTGGTCCTACATTCAAAGTACCCAAGTGCATATCAGAATTTTAGCACCTAGCCATTGATCATAGGGTTGCCTTGTGCAGCTGGTGATATATCCAATGAAGAGACAGCTAATGTAGAATAAAAAGCTTGTGTACAATAATCCAAGAATATAAGGTGACTAAATATATATTTTAAAGATCACAATATATGTTGAAAAAATGATCTAACAGACTTTTATATATATATTTATATCAGACATTATAGGATGTGTTAACAGGAAACCACAAGTGTAACCAGTAACACTAATGAAACTGTATTTGATTTAGGCATAACTTACTGACACACTCCACTCCGCTGTGCTTTAGTTTTGAAAGCAATTTGGCAAAGATCAAATTGGTTATTACAAAAGCGATTATGCACATCAGTAAAATAAAAATGTATAGATTTATACCAAACCTCTGATGAAGTAATGTAAACCTCACCAGACGTGTTGGTTAAGAGCACTTAAACCACTGATTGCACCACTTCTCTGTCCTTAGAGTTAAGAATTTAAGAGGAAAGTCTGTTTTGTCACAAGAGGGCACTAAGCCTCCGTTTATACGTGGTCTCACTGCTGTAGGCTCATCTTCATCATTTGCATCAGTTTGAATGCATCTGCATGCTGTGTATTTGCAAGAAACTGAGGGAATGTAAATGCAGTCTACAAATTCATTCACGTGATTTCTAATATGAATATTTGACAGTGTAAATGATGTTGTTTGAAAAAAAGTGTTCAGAGCACCAATTTGACCTTTTTTCAGTTAGATGATACAATGTTGATTTATCAGCTCTTTATGTGAGCTTGCCTTTATGGTGTCAACAGAACTGGAAGTGAAACACGATGGTGTTTAAATGTCTATTTTCACTCTTTTGGTGCAGTCTAACTGTAGTTCAAAGCTTTTTCGCTCTCTCACGGGCAGATTTTCAGTCACAGCCTACGCGACCCAGTATTTCCTTATGTAAGAAAACCCTGCATGGTATTTTTCTTCTTCTTTTAAAAAGTCTGCGGATCTGTAAAAGTTGGCTGGAAGTCATCCTCCCCCTCACAGTGTATTGCAGCTTTAAAACAGTCCACAATGCCTTGCGGTGCGTCCCAGTTCCAATGCGATGTATTTACCAGCAGGAGTAATGAAACGGGGGAGAGGGGCTTTTTCCGCAGCTTATTGGTGAGACCGCAAAAGACTGTGTGCCTGGAGAGGACTGACACAAACTTTCGGACCGCGGATTGAAGCGTCAGTTCATCTGTTTTCGGTGGGTTTCCTTAGCCTCTGTTTTTTTTTTCTGTTTTCGAAACGTGACTTTGTCGCAGTTCGTTGGTAGTGATTTACTGGGCAATGCTGAAAAAGGAGGACGAATTTTGCGGAATTCTCTCCTCTACCTGTGTTTTCCCTCTAAACTTCAGTCCGGACAGGAAGGACTAACTTTAATCCAGCAAAGGTAAGACCGTTACGCAACGTTGATTATTCGCAGATTGCGCCGCAGCTGAGCCCGCTGTAGTTGCGTGCAAGGCGGAGATAACGGAAACATTTCTGTAGTAGAATTTAGTTGGGCTGCTCAGGACCCACTACAGCCCACTATCGCCATTTCTCCGGCTTCCTCCCACTCAACACCAACTACAGCTCGAGCTACACAAGCAGCTAGAAGGTGCTTGTTTTTGAGGTGTTTCAGGTCACAATGCTCCTTGCGTTCTTTCACGTGAATTTTAGAAATATTGTCAGTTACAATCATCTGACTCATGTTTGCCCGTTTTGTGTTGGCTTGCCCCGGGTTTTTCCACAATATCGGGTAAGCTGCAGCTTCTTCTGCAAGTATGTCAAGCTCGTATGGTCTCAAAAGTATGTATGCATGTTTAATAATTTAATAATCTGCATATAGAGCCACTTGGTTTATTCTGTCTAAAGCTCCAGTGCTTTAACCACATTGACACACACACACCAAGTGCAGCAGAACCAACCTGTAGAGTTGTTGCACTTGCACAATGTCCTATTCTCTGCAGCCTTGGAGCATTACTTGGGTTTGGTAGCGAAATCGAGTCATTTGGTGGTCTTTTCTGCATTCTGTAAAGAACCATAAAGACCAGGCTGAAAACAACCACCTACAGACTGGAAAAAATATATATAATTGGCACATTTTTTCGTGGCTGCCACTTCAGTTGCTCCTGTAAAAACCATTTGAGTTCTATAAACGCACACGCAACAGTTTGACTCACAGCTGCAGCTTTGCAAACCACAGTAACATGTAAAAGAAATTGGCCAAAGGCCTCTGGTTGCCCCGCTGAGCCGCCGCTGTGCTGCCCTGCTGCAGGAGCCTGCTGCTTGGCCCTCTGGCTCTTTAAAGCTGGCTAGTGAGCAGAGAATATGGCAAGGGAACAAAGGCGGCATTATTGCTGGCTGAACGTGCTGTCCAGATGTTCCAGATTCTGCCAGCACTGACCTCCCAAATGGGGGAGGTTGCTTCAGCGCTTAATAGTTTAATATCAACCAGACAGGAAAAAAAAGAGAGAGGAGTAGCTCCAGGGCAAGGGGCCACTGGAGACATCCCAAGAGCTGTGGGTGCTGGGTGTAGCCTAACTGGATGGGGGTTTAATCCCAAACTCTCCTATCTTCAGAGCGAAAACACAAATTCTGAGGAAGTGCTGGAAACTTTTTTGTCCTTATTTTTGGGGTTACTTTGGTGGTTTGGGGCATTTACTTAAGGCACACACATTTAAAAAGCTTCACATGTAATAAGTATGTTGAATGCAATCCATTATCTTCTGCTACGTTTTCAGCGGATTTAGTATTGGTGCAATAAATGGACAACAACCATCAATTGGGAATCCTCAGTTTGAGCCTTGCAAACGCAATTTTTCTGACCTTGTAATTATTATTATTGTAGGTTCATGTTATTTAGGTGCCATTACCTACTGTTGTATTTTCCATCGCCACCAGTATCACTATGCAAAGGACCCCATAGCTTTCTTATCTCTTAGTCACGGCCTATTGGATTCTCACAGCCCAGGAATGCATACCCTGTATGTTATCAGTTTCCACTCTCCAGGATCAAGGCTTTTCTCTGGTCCTTACCATGCTCTGTGATGTTTACAGTTGCACAGGACATTGTACACACTCTAGGATGGCATATCTGTGATCACGAACTTCTTTATCTGGTCATCAGTGCAAGATGGATAACTTTTAGCCACAATTGTTCCATGATATCAGCGTGTCTTACATTAATTAAAAACTTTTGCCTCACACAAGTGATTTAAGGCCAGGGATTATACTTGTTTATGTAGTTGTAGCGCTTGACTAAAAGGGAAGCAGTAGATTACTCCAGTTTGTTCCAACCCAGTCGCCTCCACAATAAAACCATCATCTGTCTCTGGCTGCTCACAGAGATCTATTTCACAACAGGTCTGTCACCAATTACAGCAGAGTATAAATTGCTAGTAATTACATGCTACCCCGCAGGGTGTGCAATTTGAATTAAAGTTTGGTAAGTAATAGGCTGGAAGGCTTAGAGAAGACTTTTGTTGCTCCAGTCTATAAGAAGGATCCTATTGTGTTTAGTTAACAGCAGTGTGGGGGAGGTTTAAATGTCAGAAGGCTTCTGCTATAAATCTTTATTAATAAAGATGCTGAATGCAAATTCCAGTAATATTGCAATGCCTGAACCTCTGCTAGTAGCATTGTTTACCACCTTGTTGAACAATGGTTAGCAAATATAGACAGGAACTGGAATTTTATAAGAAACATTTTATTTTATAGTCTTGTGTTTTGTTTTGTTTTTGCTGCTTTACAGGCCTTTTCCTTGGTGAAGCACACTGGCTTTGATGTCCCCTTGTTCAGCATACTGATAAAATACACCTGCCAGATCGCGATGGCTGACAGACTGTAATTCCAAGACGCAGTTCCGTATTTAAGCTCTAACATTGAAACTCCTACAGTATTTCTGCGTACTGTATGTTACTGAAATGTGTTGGTTGTGCTGAAACACCCACAGGAGCATATGGTAGCTTGTTTACAGCAGCAGCCAGTAGAAGCCTTTTCCCTGCCAGCTTGGTGTGCTCCTGTAGGTCTGGAGAAGTGTCATCAGCAGCCGGCCAGGCAGGCTGCTCATTTCTGCTCGTACACCTCACCACTCAAAGAAGACTTCGTCATCAGTCAGTGGTACTTAACCAATACCAGAGCGAGACAAATGTGAGCAGTCACTAAAGTCATTTGGGGTTGATGTTTTTTTTTATGCAGCTGATCGTGGCTCAAATGCGCTTAAGCAGAATTTGCAGAAATTCGAGTGTTTCTCTGTCTTGTGAAATGCTTCTCTGGCAAAACACAAGCTGCCCAAATCAGCAGGCGGGCATCTCCCCAGGCTGTGGCTTTGACTGGCCAGAGGAATGGAGCTTGCAGGGCTCAGGATGGCACTCTGCCCCGCACCGCTGTGCCTGTATCATCAGTTGGGTTTTCTGGGTTAATGGTAATGAATACAAATGTTGCAAGCCTGGACTAAACCGAGTGACATTTGTAAATTCCCCTCTGAGTCTTATAGAGCTTTTGCAAAGAAGAAGCCCTGAATCAGCCAGCAGATATTTCTAATGCCAGTGAAATACAAAGTGTTCCATGCAGTGGTCTTTTTAAAATCCCTTTCAGCCAGATGCCATTAGTCTGGAAGTGTTGCTATAGTTTTTTTTTCTTTTTTTCTTCCAATCAGAATGGCTGATCACCTCTGGCTACTCCACTATGACTGCTTTGCATCAAGACCTAATCAGTGCCTGTTACTGTTTCTACGCCCCCCTGGAAAAAGGTCTTTGAGTGATGGCAGAAAAATCTAAGCGTCTGCATGTGTTGCCCGTTATTCATGTTCCTCTACGTCCTTCAAGCATGTAATGCCATTTAGATTCCGTTTTAAAGACGGATAATAGCACTTTACAAGCATAATGTGCCAAGAATAGACTGAAACTAGATGACACTAGTGCACATACATACATAACACACACTGCATTGAAACTAGGGTTTTTGCTTTTCTGCTTTTCTGCTTTTTGTATTGCAGATAGGTACAAAATTCTTCAGTCAGTATTATGAAAACTGGAGGATTAAAAGATTTATTTATTTTTTAATCCAACACTTTGGCTGTTTTTAAATTTCTAAAAACGATCATTTTAAAAATATCAACTTAAATTTCTGATAGGCTTTGTGGACCATCTTTTAAAACAGTAAATATTATTAAGAAGTCTACTTCTGTTTCTCTATTCTTGCATACCATAGCTTGTAGCACTGCACAACGTCTTGACCATATTTAGAAAAACAATTGGCGATGGTGACTTTGTGGTTGTGGACAGGAGATATGTGGGGCGTACAGGAGGTTTAACGGCGGGGGCGGGCGGGGGGGTGAACAAAAGAACCTTTTGACACAGTCGTGTAGGTGCATTGAAGGTTAGATTCATGGAGAGTGATACAGGTCTGCAGAGAAAGTATGCATTCATTCGGTCGCTGTCCTTGAAGTGCATGTCGACGGATGCCTCCGTGTAGATTCTTGTTTCGTGTGCGGTGTTTTGTCACTGGTTATTTACATCTTTGTGTAAGTAACCAGCTTTCATAGGCATAGCCACATAGCTGTTGGTATAAATCAGTCAATGTTAATATTAAACTTCACGAGGATACATCTTTTCTTGTATTTTGCTGTATTGTTCCACAGTGGAGAATACGGGATTCTGTCAATACGATAGACATGCCACGGGCATTTTACAGAACCGTGAGCACACATCCAAAACGTATCTCTACTCCCCTGTGTTGTGATTCTTTCTTTCCTTTGTTTTAAATTACGTTTACATTCCTTCTCTGTTTCTGTCCACCCTGCGTAACTGAGTTAATCTTTCTTTCGTCGCAGCTGTACAAAAGCAGGAACTGGCCTTGGGAATGTCTCCTGGCACTCTCTTCCTGCACCCCCAACAGACATGTACCTATTCATAGAGAAGAACAAAACAACAGCGTTATGGCCAGCTGGCCCTGGCATGCCAGCCTCTTTGAGTCACTCTCACTGGATTATTTCTTACCTTAACCTACTGCGAAAATAGCCACTCTACCTCAACATTATTATTTTTCCCTTCTCAACTGGGTTCTTGTTAACAAGTAGGAACTATACACCTTTGGCCTTGAGTACATGCAGACTAAAGACTTCCTGTTTCCCCTTGTTCTCTCCACAGCGAATTAATCAGAGGGGCTTCCGCTGCCCTGCCATTGCCACCTTCAGTAATGTTGGGGCCAGCACGCAGCACCCGGCCCCCTTGCTTCTGACCCAGCATGGAGCTCAAAGTATGGGTGGATGGAGTCCAGAGGGTTGTCTGTGGGGTCACTGAGGCAACCACCTGCCAGGAAGTGGTGATTGCTCTGGCACAGGCCATAGGTAAATAATCCCTATTTTATGAAAGCTACAATAAGCACACCTAAAGAAGGTCATTCGAAATTCAAGAACTGTCTTGCATCTCTTGATTCAAGTAGTGTGAATGTATTAGTATTGTCATGCATCAGTAAGTAACTGATTTCTGCACAAAAATGTCATCGTGAAAACATGAAAGGTTACACCTGCTGTAAAAAGACACTGATAATTGGCTAATATTAATAAATTATTTTTCTTATACATGTTGGCCCAATGGTTGAATAGTTTACAATTATTTTTTTTAATACCACAAACACTGAACAGACAGTAACTTTCATCAAGTGTATTTTTATGCGTTAGCCAACCCACAAAGCTTTAATCTTGGTTTAAATCCCCTAAATGCCGAGTAAGTCCTAATGAAGTGAAAAACAGACTCTCCTGCCTCCATGCTAAGTCCCTGCAGAGATGTAGTGGGTCGTAGGCTTCATTGGTACTTCCTTAGATCTCAACACCCTACTCTCTCTTTCCATATGGCTCCTGCAAGAACAGGGACACTTGAGCATACTGTATTGACATCACTTTCCACAAAGCCCAGGGTAGGAGGAGGAGGGGGAGGAGGAAGGAAAGTCTGACTCATCCCTCAGTCTCCTGCCAAACTGAGAAAGCAGCACTTCTGAGCCCCCTCCTTTGCTTTTTAACGCCATGTTAAGTGATCAGACATCAGTATTGATCTGGTACTTAAACCTTTTCTGTCTGCACTCTACTACTAAGTGTTGCGTCTACGTTTTCCCTAAAC